ATTGTTTCCGGTACACCATCTTGTAATTTATCTTCAATTGCTGTAACACCTAATAGAACAAGATCAGTTTCAATTTCTTCATAAATAGCATCGAGTTTATCATCTCTCGAATCCATAGAGAGCGCGGCTTCTTGTTGTCGTATTTTCCAGTTCAGAAAGAATTGTTCGTCAATCTCTCTACTCGCTAAACAGAGTGTTCTCAAACCCTCACCAGCAAATTTCTGTGTATAATAATAATTATTATCAATGCAATATGAAACTTTAGTAAAAAACAGGTATAACTTACATTTAAATGTTCTTGCGTTTTCGTCTTGATCTCGATTTGACCTTTAGCTAATCTTTCATAAATAACATTATCGGCCCCTTTACAAAGTAACATTAAATGACCGTCTCTTTTTACAACAACTGACATTCGTTTTCTCACATTATTGAAGTCCAATATACACAATAACTCGTATTCCTGAAAAAGAGATACAATTAGTCACAGTTGGTGAATCACATTAAAAATTGAACCCGAATTAGATTTTGGACGAATTGACTCTGATTTGTTGGAATCTAGAATTTATATCAGAATACAATAATTACTAGTTGCTATTTAAAAAAATAATTTTAGTGCATTGTACAAATAGAAGATGTTTTAGTGCAGTTAATAAAATTAATTAATTTTTCTACCTCAACTTTACCCATAACTTCGATGGTATCGTATTAGGACTTCTTTCCCTAAACACGAATCCAAAATTTCTAGCTGCCGATACCAAGGCTGATTCGTCTGGACTTTGAGCCTGGTACTCCAATCGACCATTCTTCTCTGCTGGCATTACAGTATGGCAAATGCAAGAAGTCGAAAGAAATTATGGTATGTACATTGTTGTTATTCACTGATCTAAGAGTGTCTGATCGTAAAATTTAAATTCAGGTTCATATTCCGAATTAAAACTGAAATCGATGGATCCGTGGTCTGAAGTTTTATTCAATGAAAAGGTTAATATCATTATAGAACCTCAAGCATATTAAATTAATGCCAAGTCTTATTGTTAAGCTAATTTAAACTAAAATAATATTTTTTTGCTATATCCATTAGAATTCTAAATATTCAATAAGTCAATACTCACTATTATTGTTAAATCATATGTATAAGAATAAGTCATAAGGCAAAGGCAGTCTATTATGAAAATTACTTCAGTCGAGTGAAAAATTCTTCTCGTTCAAAAATAGCCTTCAAGATAACCTTTGCAACTAATATGACTATATAAAATCTAAAACGTTACAATTAAGCTATCGAGCTTCTTTTTAAACAACCAAGAATTAAAACTAGTTTTCTTCAGTACGCTAGTACAGAATTCTTAAAAAAAATTAGAGAAAATTAAAAGACCGTCCTATCGACATCGAGTCCTAAAAATTTTAACTCAACATTAACGAAATGCAATACCTGCGCTACCAAGATGTGTTCGATAAAATCTAATCGCTATAACATACCAAAAAATTGTTAATCAATCAATGATGTGCAAATATAAAATAGTTATAATAACATTTCATTTCAAAACAACAAATGCTTCTGAATCTCAACGTATGCCTAAAATATCAAAACAAACTAAAACACTTTATACATATTATACTAATGCTAGCATTCCATTTTTACTGTGTAAAAAGACATAAATGTGCGACAGTGTTTGATAACTACACGGTTAACATAACTACCATCTATATTTGCACAAAGTGCTAAGTTTTGTGTATAAGAAGAAATAACAATCTAGCATACTGATTATAAACCAAAACTAATTAATGAATGTATTTAATTTTAAAATCAACTAATTTCAATTCAACTGATTATGAATTGATATATTTAATTGTGGGT